TTCCACTTGACTTTTTTGTTCCATAACCCTCAGGATCATTTAAGAAATTCCAAATGACTGTCTTACTGCATCCCACCTCAGCCGTGATGGTGCGCTGCGAGAGACCCTGCAAAATATGATTTTAAACTTTTGATCGGGAGTGTACTACAGGTGAATTAACAGCTTACTGAGCTTTATGCAATAGCAAATATTTTCGTCTCTGTACACTAAAGGTAATAGTTATAGGAATAGAAATAGAAATTCAACTTCTTTTCTCAAAATAGAATTACTTTTGTCAAAAGTGTAACTTTAGTCTTAAAATGATCGATAATATTCTTTTTTCTTAATGTGGCCCTAGTACTCGTCTGTACATTTAGAGTGGTGTTATTATTACTTATCTGCTCCTCTGTGTATTAGGAATTCAATTGAGTTTTTTAGAGACACTTCTACTGCCCCAGTTTTTAAATTCCAAGCCAATCTCATAGCAAAACTTGGTATATTCATTAGAAAAGCAAACTATACGCTCATTTTCATTAATAGGTTTATTTGTGTCAGTTATCATGACTTTATAACCTATACATTTCTATAGGAGTAAATAAACTGCCACAGGAGTGTTTTAAAATCTGTCTGTGAAAATTTTTAACTCTTTGGTCATGTTATTCTTGTCCTATTTTATTCCTCTTTTATGTTGGGGAAACAAATAAATCTTCACTCTAAAAAATACTGTTCTCATAAACTTTGTTCATGCTCTTTATCTCAACAACACACTTGACGGGGAAACGTTAATGTGACACAACAAAAAACATCAGCGCTATCATCAGCATTGGCTGTTTCTGATAAGCTGGCAACAGTCAACAAGGCTGATTTTCAGCTCATATATATATATATATGTGCATCCACAGCAAGCGGCAAGTTGACAGCCTATTTCATGAACTGGTGAATCAAAATAAGGATCGAATAAAGGCTCAAAGGAATTCTGTATATTAAATAATGGATCTCTGTGGGTTTGTTAGACCCATGTTCAACATGATACAGATGTTCTAAAACAGGTCTGTGTGCAATGGTGAGAAACAATTTATTGTATACACTCTTCTCTAATTGGCCAGAAACTGTAGGACAGAAACATACTTTTTCACCTTGGTCTTATATAAATTATTGTAACAGCCACCGTGGAGCTTTTTTACTTTTTGTTTCATATTAGTTTTATGCCTTACCAGCATGAATGTAATGACATAAATACAATGTAAAATGTCACTAATGTTTATTCCCATTTTTATTTTTTAGGTAAGGACAAGAAAGCCAATCACTCAAACCTATTGGTTATGTCTCACAGTGTTTTGTCCCTTAAAATCTCACTTCACGTGTCTGCATAACCACTTACCAGTTAAATGAAATTCCTTTTATAATAAATGCTGAAAGCTGGTTTCGCTCTTTTGATTGACAAAGGAAAGCAAATACATGACCTGCTGCTGCGAATGAATGATCTGGTCTGGTGAAACTTCCATTATGACTACATTTGTGAAAAAAATGGAACATATATTCATCTTATCATCATTTCTTCAGGTGGCATCTACCTTCAGGGTTACATGGTGCGAGAGCAGTCTTATGGAGCCAAGAATTCAATCATTGAGCTGAAACCTCCATCTGATGAGTTCAGAACTTTCTACCTGTGTGCTGAAAACGCAAATGAAAATAAACGGTGAGGAGCTGACTCTTGTTTTATTTATACTAGTTCCTTAGTACTAGAAACAGCAACCCCTGTGATCTTGCACTTAGTACACCTGTGTCAGTATAAGAGAGCTTTGTATGGGTGCGGTTTAGGTATCAAAAGTGACTGACTTGTAACAGCGTCTTCTATTTGACCCAACAACGCCAGGGACTGTGGTGACATTCTGTTACTCTATTTGTACACAAAGACATCTTTCTAGTGTGTTTTTGTTGTGTCTGCTTCTCAGTGTGCTGCTGCTGCTTCTGCCCTCCGACTCTCCACTCTCTATCCCAGTGTGCTGCTTAAATTAGACGACAATTGCAGGATTTATCAAACTATCTCGTACATAAGCTTTTTAAAATATTAATATTTTTAAAAACAACAGTTGAAAGATGCTGTCATGTTGATGTTTCTGTTTTTCTTTACAGATGGATTATAGCTATCAAAGCTTCAATAAAGAAGTGGCTGCCTTTACACCAGGCACTTCAGCACTACATGAATGGACCACCAGAAGAGACCAGAATGTGATTGAACATGTGTCTGTAAATACTGACAGAATCTTGTGGATCACTGATTAAGCCTCCTGTTTGCAGACTGCTATACTTTCCATATGTGAGGGACAAGATTATTTATTTGATTTTTCTTTCTTCTCTTTTTTTTACACTGCTTACTTTCAGCCTCGTTCATTTTTTATAATTCATTGTGGATTTTTGCAATGGATTCTAATTTTTTAGATCAAGGTTGTATACGCAAACAAATGAGGCGTAAAATTTATACTCTATAAATAAATTTTATTATGATTAAAAAACAGTCACATGGGAAAAGTCAGTACATCGCTAAACGGTTCAAATATCACATCGATCACCTTCATCTGTGTAGACTGTATTAAAAGGATTACATGTGTGTTTCCATTTCCTGTGATGTATTATTTTACCTAACTAATCTTATACCTAAAAATACCTTATACCTTTTCATTGTTTTTAAACAACCATGTTCTTTTCCTTTGAAAGCATCCTTTACACGTCCTGTATGCCTGTCTCTATAGACAGCACCAACTACTTAAGAATGCTGAGGATTTTGCAGGACGGTGACATCAGGCTTATAGGCAAAATAATATCTGGATATTAATAAAATTACTTCTGATATTTTTCATTTTCTTAAAGGAAATGTGAGTCATTTTATTGTTTTCTGTGTGCACGTACTTCAGTTAAAAAATTTTTTTAGATAGCTTCGTAAAACAATTCACAAGATTAAAATTAACAACAGACTCAGTGAAAACAAAAAGATATTGATTACATCAGTTTAGCTAATTGCCCTTTAATCTTTAGCCATTTTGTTCTGTACTTCATTTATACTGTGTTGTGAATTCCAAAAGCTCTTTGGGCAGGTTTCATTTTTTAAAATTTTTTATATCACATGTTGACATTTCTATGCTTTTATATTAATATGGTGTTTTTATACCAGTTTTCCTTTTGATACTTCCCCCCCACTGTAGAACAGACAGAAATGTATTACTGTCACTGTAATAAATTCTACAATCAAGTCCTGAGATTTTGCTTCTTACATTTAATTACCATCCATTTCTTACAAATGTTATGATTCAAATTAAATTAATTTATGAACTCTTTCTGCAATCAGTATCTTCCTCAAGGACACTTTGGCATGCAGGGATTGAACCACCAAACCTCGGATTAGGAGATGTGCTACTAATAGAGTTTCTTGAATAATAAATAGTAAGATATTCCTGCTTTACGTAGGGCTTTTTTGTAGAACAACAGAATAGAGTAGAATTTTTTCCAGTCTAAATGACGATCCTCTAATGTAGTGAGATGCAATTTCCTCTCCAATTTGCAAGTTTTCTGCTTGTATTTTATTGTCTTGTATTATGTGTTGTATTACTGGCCTTTGAACATTTTGTTCCTTCTACTATAGTCACTCTGAGCTGTGTGTCTTCTACATGGTAGTCTAGCTGACAGTGAGCTGTTCATGCCCCTTGCACACAACCTTCTATTAAAGTGACTGCATGCAGTTCAGAATTGAGACTTAATGCGCAACTAAGTAAGATAGTGGGATGACTTTTTTTTTTTTTTTTTAAAGTGACCCAAGTTCTTTATGAAGTCATCATATTCAATCATTATTGGGGTGTCTCCAAAAGCAGCTTTCAATACAGCCACATTGTCAAATAATCTTTTACTGCAACATTTACAGTGATCTCCATCGCGCTCAATAGATAAAAACTTTAGAAAACTTCTTTTTTTTTATCAGCTGAAAGAAATAGGAACATTTTAAAAAGTGATCACAATAAAGTACAAAAAAGAACTTGGCTACACAGGAGATCTACATTACCTTTCACAGCATATCACAGACTGTCTGGCTATTTAAACTGTTGTATAAACTACTGAATTTCACATCCTCTACTGCCAAAGGTTTTTCTTTTAGGTAAAAATTTATACCTAACTTAAGTCACTCATATTGCTAATTAATATTTGTTCCCATCAAGACAAACATTAAAGTTCATAGAGGAAGGTGTAGTGTAACATGTTAAGAGATCACTAATGTCAGCTCACACAACAACATTAAAAATGTGAAAGTCTTTTTTTTTTTTTATTATATTGTTATATTATCATAACCACTGCATTATTATTTTGTTTCCACCAAGTATTTGTGGATAAAGTGAAATGCACTTAAAAAAGAAATGAAAATACACTTGTTGAAAGGACATTTTGCAGACTACCCAATTTGAATTTGCTTCATCTGAGTCTGGGCCAAGTTGAGAATATTCGTATTATAAATATTCAGAAAGAACTAACTTAAAATTCTCTTTCTTTACACAGCTTTTTAGACAAAAACAACACTTTCTAAAAGCTAAATTCATTTAGAAATGTGCTTGTTTTGATCATTACATAATTAATATTACAGTATTTATGATGTTTTAAATGGTAATAATTATTGCTCATCATAATTCATAATTTCTGGCTCTCAGATTGTATTAGAAAGTTACAGTGGCATACAGCAATGCGACTGACATGCTCTATGGCTCTGACCTGAGAATGTTGAGATAAACGGTCTCACAGATTGCACCTCAGATTATTTCATTTTACGCAACAGAACTTGGGAGATGCCATTATAACATTAAATTTAGATTTCACAAAGGCTTGTTACAGCTTAAATTAATACATTTTACACTGATAAATGTAACAAAAAACACAAGTTCTGAAACAAGAATTCACAATTTCAATTCTTTCAAAGAAGCATGTCCAACGGTGCATACTCAAGGGGTGTACAGATCTGTAAGTGTTTAATGGCTTACTTATATATACAATACTGTTGTTGTAGTGTTTTCTATAGGAACACATAGTTAGTGCCATGGTGGTGACAGAAGCAGAGAATTCCAGAGACAGTCTGTAGCACATATCCAACAGTGCAATACGTCCAGAAAAAAAGTGTTCTGCAACAGAGGGACTGAAAACTCAACCATTACGAGCTGTAAGGGAAATCTACACACTTATTAAAAACACATCTCACATCTGTACATACTGCCGTCATGAACAATGCAGAAAACAAATGATGCACTGATACATATTTGCTACAATAAGCAATAAAGATTTACAAGAAGTGAAGTGACACTCTCTCACACTCTATCTGTAGTGGAAGACACATGGTCATTTGGTTGAATTTCATCAAACTACACGATAATCCTCCATTCTGTCCAGTGTGGCTGCAAATTGAGTCTCTTAAAGAAGCATGGCAAACTCTGCATCCCTCTAAAATTCTTTCTCATGCCTTTCAGTCACATTAGTAAGCGATACCAGCGGTCTAAGGAGATGACCAAATAATTGAAGCATCCTTAGTTAAAGTCTGACTGGAGATATTTTACATGTCTTTCCTCTGTCATTTATATTTACCACCTTTCATCAGTTATTGGATTCAATCAAAAGTGAAAGTACATACACTACCAGTCAAAAGTTTGGACACACCTTCTCGTTCAATGGTTTTTCTTTATTTTCATGAACATTTACATTGTAGATTCTTGCTGAGGGCACCATAACTGTGAATGAACACATGTAGAATTATGTAGTAAACAAAAATGTGTGAAATGACTCAAAAGATGTTTTATACTTTAGAATCTTCAAAATAGCCACCTTTTGCTTTGATTACTGCTTTGCACACACTTGGCATTCTCTCGATGAGCTTCATGAGGTCGTCACCTGAAATGGTTTTCCAACAGTCTTGAAGAAGTTCCCAGAGATGCTGAGCACTTGTTGGCCCTTTGCCTTCACTCTCATCCCAAATGATCTTGGGTTTAGGTCAGGTGACTGTGGAGGCCAGGCCATCTGCACTCCATCACTCTCCTTCTTGGTCAAATAGCCCTTGTGCAACCTGGAGGTGTGTTTGGGGTCCTTGTAATGTTTTCAAAAATAAATGATTGTTCAACTAAACACAAACCAGATGAGATGGCGTGTTGCTGCAGGATGCTGTGGTAGCCATGCTGGTTCAGTGTGCCTTCAACGTCACCAGGAAAGCAGCCCCACACAAAGACACGGCGAGTGGAATCAAAGATCTCAAATTTGGACTCATCAGACCAAAGTACAGATTTCAACGGGTCTAATGTCCATTCCTTGTGTTTCTTGGCCCAAACAAATGTCTTCTGCTTGTTACTTTTCCTTAGTATTGGTTTCTTAGCTATTTGACCATAAAAGCCTAATTTGAACATAGATGTTCTGCTACTGGGACTGTTAGGTGGCATTTATCTGGGCTCTAATCTGAGGTGCTGTTAACTTGCATCAACTTATCCTCAGCAGCAAAGGTCACTTCCTGGGGCGGTCCTCATGCGGGCCAGTTTCATAGTAGAGCTTAGTGATTTTTGCGGCTTCACTGGGGCACGTATTGGAAGTTTTAGCAATTTTCCATCTGACTGACTTTCAGTTCTTAAAGTAATGATGGACTGTTGTTTCTCTTTACTTAGAATTCATATTATGGGAAGAACCAATCAGCTAACAGTTGGGCTCTCAGCTGTGTACCAACCTGACTTCTGCACAACGCAACTCTTCCTATAATGTGGAAAGTTGTAAAAATAAAGAAAAACCATTAAATCAGAAGGTGTGTCAAAACGTTTAAATGGTAGTGTAAGCACTGATAATTATTATATTTGTGCATCATTATGGACAGAGGGAAAAAAAAAAACCTCTTAAAAGCACATGGCATATCTTATATTACGACAAACTTCAAGTGGCATGTTTTTTTTGTTTTTAATTGATTTACTTACATTACTGTAAATTAGAGCGTGGAAATCATATTGACATCTAAACCAACAGTACTACATCAATAAATAAATACGTAAATAAATGTGCAACATACAATAACGTTATATTGTTAATTTGACAACTCCAAATGCAGTTCCTTAATGTCAAACAAACAAGAACAGTCACAGTAAAACTATTGTACTGATGTCAACGGTGCATTTTAAAGCTGATACTGTATGTGATATGTGCTTTCTCAGCTATAAGCTGGTATAATAGTGTGTATCCAACCATTACAAACACACAACAATGCCAATAAAAATTGTCAATAAATAGGTCCATCAGTTATTGCTAAATTTATATAATTCAATTTTTTAACCTCAAAAACCTCATAATGCTAAGCATACAGAACAAGGTAAACCCCCCAACTAATAATAGAACAAGATTATCATCAGACTGTCTCCTTAAAGAACTGTTTATAATCATAGTAGAAAGAAACAAGTCTAGAAATAGCACCTAAATACCCCAGAGGATGAAACACATCTAAAAAAAGTTTCACTGTGCTTTCATGTCTTGTTTCTGGTAAACACACGCTCCCCTCGTAGGTTGAGGTGCTGCAGTTGGTACTGTAGCACTTCAGTGTCTGATGACTCTTTGATACTTATTTTGTCCAGATTAAGGTAGTCAAGAGACTTGGACTGGGCACCTTTACTTTTAAGCAAACAGAGTGGTAGTGGAGCATGCAGAGCCCTCCCAGACTCGCCGTGGGCCAGAGATCTGAGGAAGGTGTCGCTCGAACTGGGCATACGCCTTCGTCTTCGTCCATTAGTAGCAGGAATGTCGTATGGTTGGTAGTACCGGCCTTTGGCTTTGAAAATACGTGAAGACCGGTGGATGCCCAGGTCCACAGACTTAGGGACAGTGCTCTTGATGGAGCTGGACACTGCATCTGATACACGGGCCTTCTCAGGATTACCTTCTGACCACTTGTGGGCCAGTTTGAGCAGCTCCTCACCAGTGGTGAAGCCCACCAAATAGTTTGAGTCCATGTGGAGAATCTGGTATCCTGCAACAGTACCTCTGATTGGTGAACATGGGGTGCTGGCACAGCGAGGTCTCTCTGCTTCTGGTTTCAATGTGGCTTTGATGTCAGTTGTAGGAAGAATGGAGACACGTGTCCTGGATACTCCACTTATATCCATTTCCATCGTTACAGATATCCTGACTGATCAAAAGGTTAAAAAAAGAAAGAAAAAAAAA